GATAATAATTAATAGAAAAACCATCAACACAAACTAAAAAATAAAAATTACAATTAAAATTGTAAGAATTAGTAGCCAAATAACTAAACACCCAATATTATTACAATAATAAATATTAGTGCAAAACATAAATGACTAACAGTGACTAGGAGTAAAAATCATGAGATCGTTAGACTTACAATCATTATAATTTATTAATTTTTATACGATTATTATTTATTAAGTTATTAACTAAAAAGTTTCAAAAAAAAATGTAATCAATTAAACCGAAAAGAAGGATATAGTACATGACATGTGACAAAAGATAGTACTCCATATGTGGATAGCAAGCTTCCACCGACCTCACTCTCAAGTTCCGTATGTTGGCCTACTGAGATAGCACCTTCGGGCTTTGCCAACTCCAAAATCAATCCTAGTAACTAAATTTTAAAATAACTCCATAATAGCTTGACTTATTTGTGTTTTAGAGGCCCCAAAAAAATGAGAGGCCCTAGGCCAACTGGCCTCATGGCCGGCTCAGGGAACAATAAATTGTTCTTAATAAAACAAATGATGAGCTTGAAATACCATGATGGAACTCCTGTCACTGATCATTTGAATTCTTTTTAGGGAATCATAAATCAACTTGCAGGAATGGGTATCTAGTTTGAAGATGAGATACAAGGTTTGTGGCTCCTTGGCACTTTACCGGACTCATGGGAGACTTTTAGGACATCATTGTCCAACTCTGCACCAGATGGTATTATCACCATGGAATTAGCTAAAGGCAGTGTTTTAAATGAAGAGATGATTAGAAAGTCACAAGGTTCCTCTTCACATTCTGATGTCTTAGTTACAGAAAGCAGGGGGAGAAGTCAGAGTAGATGTCCAAGTAACAAAGGGAAGCATCAAAGTAAATCCAAAGGAAAGTTTGCTTATTTTGAGTGCTATCATTGTGGTAGAAAAGGGCACACAATACGATTCTGCAGGCAACTGAAAAAGGAGAAAAAGAAGAGTGATTACTGCAATCAAAATAACCATAAGTTAACATTGATATGGTCAACATTGCACATGATGATTCCAGTTGGGTTGTTGATAGTGGTGCTACGCGTCATGTAACATCACAGAGGGCTTTTTATTCATCTTACACTCCAGGTAACTTTGGACATGTTAGGATGGGTAATAATGAACTATCAAAGATTGCAGGCATTGGAGATATTTGTTTGAAGTTTGACACTGGGATAGAGTTGGTTTTACATAATGTAAAACATGTTCCAGATATGAGGCTTAATTTGATCTCTGCAAGCTTACTTGATGATGATGGTTACAGCAACAACTTTGGTAATGGAATATGGAAACTCACTCGTGGTTCTTTGATTGTGGCTAGAGGTAAAAGATGCTCAAAGTTGTACATGACACATCCGAAGATCTTCAAGGATAGGGTCAATGCTGTGGTGAATACTGACATGACTGATTTGTGGCATAAGAGACTTGGTCACATGAGTGAAAAGGGGGTGTCTCTTTTGTTGAAGAGAAATGTGTTACCGGGTGTGCATGATATTCATCTAAAGAAGTGTTCTCACTGTTTGACAGGTAAACAGAACATGGTTTCCTTCAAGAGCCATCCTCCTTCCAGGAAGGAGAGTATACTTGATCTGGTGCATTCTGATGTTTGTGGTCCTATGAAGACTAGGACACTTGGTGGTTGCTCCTACTTTGTCACATTCATTGATGATTACTCCAGAAAGGTATGGGTTTATACATTGAAATCTAAAGATCAAGTATTTGAGGTGTTTAAGCAGTTTCATGCCTCGGTTGAGAGACAGACTGGAAAGAAGCTCAAGTGTATTCGGACAGATAATGGAGGGGAATACATTGGCCCCTTTGATGCTTATTGTAGAGACCATGGTATTCGACATCAAAAGAGTCCTCCCAAGACACCGCAATTGAACGGATTAGCAGAGTGTCAGATGTTTGTTGTCACATGCAGGGCTGCCAAATTCATTCTGGGGAGAAGCTTTGAATACAACGGTACATGTTATTAATATAACTCCTTGTTTTCCTTTGTCTTTTGATGTGCCTAATAGGGTTTGGAGTGGCAAAGATGTTTCTTACCGTCACTTGAGGGTCTTCGGATACAAAGCTTTTGTGCACATTCCTAAAGATGAAAGATCAAAGCTTGATGTGAAGTCCAAACCATGTGTTTTCTTGGGTTATGGCCAAGATGAGTTTGGTTACAGATTATATGATCCAGTCCACAAGAAACTTATTCGAAGCCGAGATGTTATGTTCGTGGAAGATCAGACCTTGAAAGATGCTGAGAAGAAAGATACAGTTCCTCAACATAATGATGATGTTACTGATTTGGATCCAGTGCCTCATTAGCATTTAGAACCACCTCTTGATGATGATGTTCAGAATGATGAACAACATGATAATGATGCTCCAGAACAGCCAGAGGTGAATGAAGAATTTCATGCAGAGATACCAGTACCAGAAGTGCCACCATTTATCCCACTTAGGCGGTCTACAAGAGATCATCATCCTTCCACCCGTTTTTCAGCTAATGAGTATGTCTTACTCACTGATGGAGGAGAGCCTGAGTGTTATGCAGAGGCCATGGAAGATGAGCACAAAAGGGAGTGGGTTGACGCCATGCAAGATGAGATGAATTCCTTACATGAGAATAATACTTTTGAGTTGGTGAAGTTGCCTAAAGGCAAGAGAGCTTTGAAGAACAAGTGGGTCTACAAAGTGAAGACTGAAGAGCACACCTCACAACCTAGGTACAAGACTAGATTGGTGGTCAAAGGGTTCAGTCAGAGAAAGGGTATTGATTTTGATGAGATTTTCTCTTCGGTCGTGAAGATGGGATCTATTCATGTTGTTCTGGGTTTGGCAGCCAGCCTTGATCTCGAGGTTGAACAGATGGATGTCAAAACTGCTTTTCTTCATGGCGACTTGGATAAAGAAATCTACATGGAGCAACCTGAAGGGTTTCAGGTTAAGGGAAAAGAAGGCTATGTGTGTAGACTTCAAAAGAGTCTTTATGGGTTGAAGCAAGCACCAAGACAGTGGTACAAGAAGTTTGAGTCAGTTATGGGGGAGCAAAATTACCGAAAGACTACTTCAGACCATTGTGTTTTCTTCCAAAGGTTTGGTGATGATGATTTCATCATTTTATTGTTATATGTTGATGACATGTTAATTGTTGGCAAGAACGCAGAAAGAATTACTCAGCTGAAGATGCAATTGAGCAAGTCTTTTGCTATGAAAGACTTGGGGCCAGCAAAACAGATTCTTGGCATTCGGATCACTCGAGATAGAGCTTTGAAAAAGCTTCACATGTCACAGGAGCAATACATTGAGAAGGTGCTTCGCAGATTCAACATGGACAAAGCTAAAGAGGTTAGTTCACCTCTTACTACCAACTTCAGGTTGACAGATAAAGATTGTCCATCTTCTGAGAAGAAGATTGAAGAGATGGATAGAGTTCCTTATGCCTCAGCTGTAGGGAGCTTGATGTATGCTATGGCGTGCACACGACCTGATATTGCCCATGCAGTAGGTGTTGTTAGTCGTTTTCTGTCAAATCCAGGTAAGAAGCATTGGGAAGCAGTGAAGTGGATTCTCAGATATCTACGTGGTACTTCCAAATTAGGCATAACATTTGGAAATGGAAAGCCAATACTTGTTGGTTATACTGATTCTGATATGGCAGGAAATAAGGACATCATGAAATCCACTTCTGGATATTTGATGACTTTTGCAGGGGGGCTGTGTCATGGCTAGACCTCTACAAAACCGGGTCGGCCCGCCCAGCCCGCCCGCACAAATTAGCGGGCTTGGGCATATATATTTACCCACCGGCCCGGCCCGGGCCCGGGCCCGGCCCGCAACAACATACGGGCGGGCTTGGGTTAGTGTGTAGGCCCGTTCGGGCCGATAAGCCCGGCCCGCTACATTTAGTATATATACATATATATTTTTGTATATACTAGTTTATGTATTTATTTACCCGTACACATGTATATTTTTATATTTACTAATTTATCTGTATAGATATTTATAGTTTATTATGTTTAAATTTAATATTTTAGTTCTTAACAAATAGTCCAACCAATATAATATCTATTTTTGTACTTAAAGATAATACTTTGTGCTTGAATTTTAAATTTTAGATATACTTTCTCATTATTATTTTTGTGTAAATATTTTCTGTGTATGTGATGAAAGGTCTATATACATTATAAGCGTATTAGTAATTTTTTAAATGTTGTAATATTATTTATAAAGTATTAAATAAATTATATAATTTTGAAAAATTTAAAGTTTTCCCGGGCCCGGCGGCCCGGTGGACTACCCGGCCCGCTGTTACGGGCGGGTATGGACATGTGGTTAGGCCCGTTTTTGCGGGCCGGGCCAGGCCCGCCCACACATGATGGGCAGAATACTTATGAAAAGCCCAGCCCGAGCCCACTTTTGTGCAGGTGGTCTAGTCATGGCAATCGAGACTGCAAAAGTGTGTGGTTTTATCCACCACCGAGGCTGAGTATGTGGCTGCAACAGAAGCGTGTAAGGAGCTATTATGGCTCAAAAGTTTTATGCAAGAGATTGGCTTTATGCAACAGCGCTATGTGGTTCTTTGTGGTAATCAAAGTACCATTCACCTTGCTAAAAATTCTATGTTTCACAAACCAACCAAACATATTGATGTGAAGTATCATTGGATTAGAGATGCACTTGAAGACAAACTGTTTGAACTTGATAAAGTTCATACCGATGATAATGGTGTCGATATGTTGACAAAGGTTCTAGCAAGGGAAAAGTTGAAGGTATGTTGCTCCATCGCCGGTATGGCGAACTCTTCCTCATAAGTCAAAAAAGGGGAGATTTGTTGGGTTCTTTCTTTGTTTTTGACCCATGAGGAAAGCCCAACTTTAAGCCCATTGAAAGTCTTCTTTTGACTTTCTATTTTGTGAGCTAAATTAAAAAACAGGGTCTGCCATCTATCTATTATTCGAGGACAGAAAGAGAGCAGCAGATAAGAGCAACAAGTCACAAAACATGAGCTGAAATGCTCATCTCGTTTTTCCAGCAGGCAGCAGCGGAAAAGTTCAGTTTCCCGGAGATTAAACCGTTGGATCGTCGTGATTTTTGGACAGCAGCTTCACAGCATCTGGGCCAACATTCTGCACGGTGGAGATCGGGTTTTGAGGTCCGGAGGTCGGGTTTTGTTGGCCTGGACAGTAGCTATTTTTCTGGTGATACTTTTCTTATCTTGGCTCTATTTGATTCCATACACCTTGATGTGCTTACTTCCAAAGCAGAGCCGGCTTTGGGGGCAGTTCACCCAGGCAACTGCATAGGGCCTCCCAAGCCAAAGGGGCCTCAAAATAGTCCGTAAGTATTAGTACTCGGTTATTTTATAATAATTAATTAGTTAGTTATTTTAACTCCATCGCTTCACACATCCGCAAAACTGCTGGGTTTCTGATCCATGTCGCCGACTCACTGTCAGCTGTTGGTAAATCCAAAGCAATGATTACACGAATCAAAAGCAAGCAAGCAGGAACAGGCTTCTCATCGGAACGGTAAGTCTCTTTCCGTGTGACTTCTCTATTATGTCCATCTAACCTTATTCTCTAGTATCTAATTAAGTAGTGAAATAGAATCAAATTGGACATTTGGTCTAATCTCTAGCCGTCTCTAAAGTCTGAAGTACTAGAGATAAAGCCTAAAGGCCGGAAGTGGTAAAGCATAAACTAGCAGTAAAGGCAATTTGTCGTTCCTGCCTTTAAAGTCTATTGAGGTCAACAATTCAATTCATATTTAAGGTCAATTCCTAATTCCTAAATTATTATTTAAAACTTATTGGATTAATATTGTTATTTGCTATATTGATATTGACATATTGTATGTACTATATTGACATATTGTATGTATTAGATGATAATTGATAAATACATCTTTTGAAAAAAAGATGATAATTGATAAATACATGATATAATTATTTTGACTATATTGAATTAGCAAAGTAGTTGTTTTGTCTGATTTGTCATTGTATTTAGTAGTTTTACGTTTTCTGTTAATTAGTTTGTTTGTAGTTTTTGTATTACCTATAAATATGTAGGTATTGTGACGACGGCCAATAGTGTATTTTATATATGATTGCATTTAAACACTTATCATTTTGAATACTAAAACATTATATCTAGCACTTTGAATATGTTTTTTTTTCATAATGTTTTTTTATTCAATTTATCTCATCTAGCTCCAATATGATTTGTGTCTAACGATAAAAAAAAATATGATTTGTGTGTACTAAATATTTTTCAGCCTAGGGCCTCTCATTTGCTCAAGCCGCCCCTGTTCCAAAGATATGATGATTTTGTATGCCTCTAGTATTATCTAAAGAAGACTTTGTACTGCTCCTTTGATGATGATAGTGGATTAAGCGGCCAATATGGTCCCGTGGTTTTTTCCTAGTTAACGGGTTTTCCACAATAAAATTCCGGTGTTTTTGTGTGGTGTGTGCTTACTGTTTTAGCTGATTATATTGGTGTGTGGCAGCAATATTATGTGTGTTCTAATTGCATTAAGAACACCCTATTTGTTTGCATCTTCAAAGGTTCATTCAAGTTGGGAAAATTTTAGCCAACCGGAAATTAATTCCGCATGTTATTAGTTACAGACCGTTTGGGGCTGTTTCTCCCATCAAAATGTTGGTAGTATTATTCGCCCCACGTTTTCAAAGGTAGCTCTCACAATCCCTATATCACAATCCGGTTAATCCCTCACAAGTCACAACTTATTTTTAAACATGTGTACTGTTATTAATTAAAGAGTTATAGTCCGTACAGCATGTTTTTAAAGAGACTTATTTGTATTATTATTATTATTATTATTATTTTAACATGTAGCTGTAAATTGTACTTTGTATTATCTATTACTTCAATTTGTTAAATTGTAATCGAGTGTACTCACTACAAAAAAACAGCGTTATAGTCACGGATTTTAGTCACGGATTTGGTCCGTGACTAGTTTAGTCACGGTCTAGTCACGGACTAGTCACGGAAATTTAAAAAAAAAATAGTCACGGTCTGGACCGTGACTATGACCGTGACTAATGTTAGTCACGGTCTTGGCCCGTGACTTAAGTCCTCCGATAGGTCCGTTTCCGTTTCCGGCGAAGTTTATTTGACTCCGACGACTTAGTCACGGCCAAATCCGTGACTATACCCGTGACTATAATTAAAATTTAATTTTTCAACTCCCTTAACTTAATTCGCAATGGCATTGTGTACGGATAATTTTAGTCACGGCCATATCCGTGACTAGTTCCGTGACTACTTTGATTAACACGTCATTTACACGTCATTAACACGTGTTGGACGCGTATTGGACACGGTTTTGCTTAGTGACGGACAAATCCGTGACTAAGTCCGTGACTAAATTTTTTATATATGCAGGAGCAGCTCATTGAACAGAACCACACCAATTCATTCCCAGTATATACAGTATCCGTTTGAAAGATCGAAGGATGTAGTCTATCTTCTATCATTTTCACTGTTTATGCAGATAAGGTATGTTATTTGAATTATAATTTTTATTTAGAATTAGTTGGTTCAATTTAAATTATTAAAACTATTAAATTAGTGAGGTTGTTAATTAATTAACAACATGTTTTAACTATAAGCGTAGTAATGTCATAAATTTGAATTAGTTAAACTTTTAGGTTTATAAAATAATTTAATTAAAATTAGTTAGCTAAATGTACGTAGTTTAAAACGTAATGATGTTTATGTTTAGTGAAATTAGTTCAAATAACGTACGTTAGTAATGTGTTAATTAAGTGAATTGTGAATTGTTATTGTGAATTGTGTATTGCTTATTAATTCAAATAACTTTATATACATGTTCAAATTATTGGGTTGAATTTGGTCATATTATTTAATTTAGTGAATTGTTAATTGTGTATTACTAATAAGATTAAATGTCATTAACGTAATAATTTAGTGTAGGTTTAAACTAAACGTAGGTTTACAAAAATAATTTAATTAAAATTCGTTTGCTAAACGTAGGTTTGAACGTAGCTATTGATGTGTTAATTAAGTTAAATTAGGTAGCTAAACGTAGGTTTAAACGTAGTGATGCATTAAAAGGGGACGGAATGAACTAGTTAAATTTAGTTAAATTTAACTAAATGAATTAGTTAGATTTAATTAAACGTATGTTTAATTTAGTGAAATTATCTGCATTATTGTGCATTAGGGGACATATATTTTGTGCATTATTGTTGTGAATTCTGTGCATTTCATTTAAAAAAAGTGAAAATTAGTTGATTATATTTAGTGAAATAAATTACTTAAAATTGTGTGCATTGCATTTCATATAATTTTTTATTATAATATTCAGGCATAATGTATAAACAAAATAGAAGTTGGATGTATGATAAAGATGCGGTATTGTACGGAATGCAATCAAATTTTCTCGAGGGAGTCGGAGAATTTATTGAATTTGCACTTGAACATCCGGCTTATATGAGTGGTGATAAAATAAGATGTCCATGTTCAAAGTGTAAAAATCTCAAATTTAAAGACCCACACGAAGTTGGGTATGATTTGTACGCGGTCGGTTTTGTTCCCAATTATTATAATTGGACTTCTCACGGCGAACCTTTGGATCCATCTGTTATACCACAAACGGTAGGTTCGTCTCGTTACGTCCCTCCAGAGATGAGTGCGTGGGGAGACCGTGCTGAAATGAGGTGGGACCAACAAATGGTATATGACGCATACGGTGTACCGTCTCAATTCAACCCCCCACAACCACCTAACGACCCCCCTGAAGCCTCAACCTCGTATCAACCAGATGCGGATGAAAATCCGACATTTTATCAACCTTATGTGGATGAAGGTTTGGCTGAGAGATTTCAGGATGTTCTAAAAGCTGTCGACCAACCTCTGTATGCTGATTGTGAGGGATACTCTCAGCTATCCGCTGTTACTGAGTTCATGAACATAAAAGCCGAATACAGTCTCCCTGAAACTTGCATGAATAGAGTCTTGCAGTCAGTAGGAGGGATGCTACCGCGAGATCATACCCTTCCCGATTCATATTACCACATGAAGCAGTTAATGTCTAAGTTGGGGCTACCTTGTGTTGAAATTGATGCGTGCCCGGAAGGATGTATGTTGTTCTGGAAGGAGGATGAGGCACTTGAGTTCTGCAAGTTCTGTGGTGGAGACAAATACAAACCTGTTCGTCAAGGTAAAAAGAAACCACGACATAGGTCTGCACTGTCTAAACTGTATTACCTCCCAATAGCTCCTCGACTGCAAAGGATGTACGCTTCGACTGCTACTGCGAAACACATGACATGGCATGTTGAGCACGAAACCAACGAGGGTATGATGGCTCACCCTTCGGACTGTGAAGCCTGGAGACACTTTGACCGCTGTCATCCTCAGTTTGCTATGGAGCCACGAAATGTGCGGCTGGGATTGTGCTCAGATGGATTTGCTCCTTTTGGCAGGTTTGGCAAGAACTATTCATGTTGGCCGGTCATGTTAACACCTTTTAATCTCCCTCCCGACATGTGCATGAAAAGTCATTTCATCTTTTTGTCTTTAATTTGTCCGGGTTCCAAGGATCCTGGGCGAAAGATAGACATTTATCTTCAACCCCTTATTGAGGAGATGAAAGAATTGTGGGCCGTTGGGATACCAACTTATGATGTTTCATCAGATAAAATGCTTATCATGAAAGCTGCCATCATTTGGACCATTAGCGACTTCCCTGCCTATGGCATGCTTTCGGGATGGAGCACACACGGTCTGATGGGATGTCCGATATGCATGGAGAAATCAGGTGCCAACTGGCTCAGTTACAGCAAAAAAGGAAGTTACTTTGATTGTCACCGCAAGTTTCTCCCGGAAAGGCACCGATATCGAAAGGACAAGAAGTCTTTCATTAGAGGCAGAGCGGTACGAGAGAGCCCACCCCCGAGATTGACCGGTGAAGAAATTTATAACCGGGTTCGACGTTTTCCTACGGCTATGGAAGAGCCAAACCAAGAGCCATATGGGTATTGTGATACCCATAAGTGGACAAAGAGGAGCATATTCTGGGAGTTGCCTTATTGGAAAGACCTTCTCATCCGTCACAATTTAGATGTCATGCACACCGAGAAGAACGTCTTTGACAATATATTTAACACGGTGATGGATTTGAAAGGCAAAACTAAAGACGGTCTTGCAACTAGGAAAAATATGACTATTTGGTGTGATAGACCCGAACTTTCTGTTGATCTAGAATATCAGGGCAAGGAAGTTCCAAAAGCAGTCTACCAGGTCACAGAACCACAAAAGGCAGCAATATTAAAATGGCTTGCGTCTCAGAAGTTTCCAGATGGCTACTGCTCCAACTTGTCTAGATGCGTAGACATGAACAAACTTACCACGACGACGAGCATGAAAACTCACGATGCTCATGTAATAATGCAAAGACTTCTACCAATTGCACTAAAAGAGATGCTCCCTGAACACGTATGGTCCTGCATTACTGAAATCAGTTTGTTGTTTCAATCGATATGTTCCAGCGTTTTGGATGCGGCATCCCTCCGGAGACTACAAGAGTCTGTTCCCATTCTGATGTGTAATCTGGAAAAAATAATGCCACCATCGTTTTTTGATACAATGGAACATCTCATAATACATCTTCCGTATGAGGCTTTGACTGCTGGGCCCGTCTTCTATCGGTGGATGTACAGATTTGAAAGGTTAGTCACAATTTCATTTAAAAAAAAGAATATTTATTTCACAATAACTATTAACATGTGTATTATTGCATTATTGCAGATTTCTAGGAGAGCTGAAAAAGAAAGTGACCAACAAGGCACACGTTGAGGCTTCAATTTGTCAAGCGTATCTTCAACAAGAAATCTCAACGTTCTCGTCTTTTTACTTCGAGCGTGACGTCATCACCAGAAGGAAGAGACCTGCCCGGAACGATGACATTGGCGAGGATTTATATGAAAATGTAGTTTCCATCTTCAATTACCCAGGCAGAGGTAAAGGTGCTGCGACACAACGATACATCCTGGGTGGGGAATTGCAAATTGCGCATACTTATATCCTCATGAATTGTCCAGAAATCTCACCGTTTTATCAGTAAGTTAAATTTGTAGTTATAATTGTAATACTTATACATTAAATTTGTAGTTAATTTATAGTTTTTTAATTTTTGACTTCACAGTGAATTCCGAGCTTCTTTATCAGCCTTTCCTGAGAATGAAATTGATGCGTTGGTGGACTCTGATTTTATAAATTGGTACAAGTATCAGGTATATATATACACACATATATATAATTATAATTGTAATACTTATACATTAAATTTGTAGTTAATTATTAAGTAAGTTTTTCAATATTTACCTAATGTTATTATCATGTTTATATTTACAGATCAATAGTCGTGGGATTGTCGACCCTTTGTTAGTATCATTAGCGTGGGGCCCAAGTGCCAGTGCCAAAGTGTGGCGGCAATATGTGATAAACGGTTACACATATCACACAACCGATTACGGACATGGTCGACCAACAACGAACAACGGGTTATGTGTCCCGACCATCGGTTATGATAACTCGGAAACCAATTTTTTTGGTGTTCTGCAGGAGATTCTGGAACTTGATATGCCTTCTGGTGCGCAAAAGATGACATGCGTTCTGTTCCGCTGCACATGGGTCGATCCCACACGTGGCGTGCGCAAAAATCCGAAGTATAATATGATTGACGTCAACCACTCTCGTGTGTACCCAAAAAATGAGCCTTTCATACTCGCCCAACAAGCAGCGCAGATTTATTATGCAGAATATCCTTCAACAAGGCGGAGCCTGAATCCTTGGGTGTGTGCATGTCCTGTCCGTCCGAACAAAATTAAATCACAAACTCAACACAAGGACGTTGATCTAGATGCTTTTCAGCAACAATTGTTCCAACCTCCGCCTATTGTTGAGACAATCAACTATAACGTCCAATTAAGTGATCCCAATGGCGGACGTGTTGAAGTCATGCCCGAAACGCACCTTCCGGACCTAACCATTCCATCTGAGCGCGAAATTGAGGAAATGTATGTAGCACAACAAAACGCTCAATATCAGGAAGAAGGTGAATGGATAGACGGTTCAGATACTGAAGAAGAAACTGTATATGTAGAAAATGACGATTCTGACAGCGAGTAATTGTGCTGTTGTAACTTCAATTTTGTGATATAATTTCTCCAAGCAGATGTGATAATTTCCTTCATCAATATTGTTTGTAAAATAATTACTCCTCAATCTGTTCTATACCACATAAATTCAAAGCAGTTTATTTAATACTCCATAGTCCACACTACAATTACCATGGTATTAATAATTATTCATATAATTACAATAGTAATAATAATAATAATAATAATAATTATATTAACATTATTTATAATATTAATAATAATAATAATTCTTATTAATAATAAATCATGTCTGAAATTTTCTGATCTGATCTGATTTGACTAAAATAAGAATAAACAATAAGTAATAACTAACACAAAGACGAACAGAACAGCACCTTATTCATTTTTCAATTCAATAAGCTGTGTACATAGTTTCAGACGACACATTCTTGTACGCATCATATCTCAGTCAATTGGTTCTTTATTAGTCATTTTTAGCATAAAATGCTTGGGTCGCAGGAAAATGAACTTATAAATTTAATAGTCACTGTCATAGTCACGGTCCGGACCGTGACTAAACCCTTCGTAACTGCCGAAGTCAGTCCGCCGGTCAGAGCGGCGCTGACAATAATAGTCACGGTCAGACCCGTGACTATGACCGTGACTATTTTCGAAATTTGAAAATAGTCACGGTCATAGTCACGGGTCTGACCGTGACTATTCCGTTTAAAGGCGGCTCTGACCGTCGGCACTGACATCGTCAATTACGAAGGGTTTAGTCACGGTCCGGACCGTGACTATGACCGTGACTACACAATTATATAAAACAAACCCTTGGCGTTTTTTCAAAAACCTACGCACCCAAGCCCTAACTTCCTCTTCCTTCTCTCTTCCCTCTCTTCCAGTTTAGCTGTCCGCCGTCGCCGCCTAGCTGTCCGCCGTCGCCGCCTAGCTGTCCGCCGTCGCCGCCTAGCTGTCCGCCGTCGCCGCCTAGCTGCCGCCGTCAACGCCTAGCCGTCCGCCGTCGTCCTCCGGCCGCCTTCGTCCACCTTATTCCGTCGGCCTTTCTTCAGTCAAGGTTATGTGTTTGTTCATCTTATTTTGTAATATTTAATTAAAATTCCAAAAATGCATGATTGTATACTCAAAGTTATATGTATGATTTGTTATATGCATGATTTGTAGTTTTGCATGTTAATTTCATTTTATATGTTTCGTATGCATGATTAATATATGTTCAAATGTAGATTATTTTATGTTTAATATATGTTCATATGCATGATTAACATATTTTCGAATTAATGCGTGCTTATACAATTAGTATCATGTTTAACATATATGTTTAGTGTTTGATTTGCATGCCTCTCTATACATATGTATTAAACATTTAAATTTAATCCCGAAAAAAACTAGACAAAAAACTGTTTTTATAATAGTATATGCAAAAAAAATTATTTATAATAGTATAAGCAAAAAAAACTAGACAAAACACTGTTTTAGTTTATATGTTTCATATGCATGATATGATTTATATGTTTTGTATGCATGATAATTATGTTTAAATGATTTAAATTATTATATGTGTAATATATGTTCTTTTGCATGATTAATAATATTTAATGTATATGATTAGTGTGTGATATGCATGCCTCTCAATGATTAACCCGAAATATTTTAAAAAAAAATTACCCCCTCATGTTAAGCTTTCACAAACTTAACATGTTTAATTCTAATTTTACAAATTTTTATAAACAAATTCTATAAACAGTTTTTATAAACAGTTTTTATAAATATAAAAAGTAAAAATTGGATACAAAATGGTAAATAAACAGTTTTTATAAAAACTGTTTAATAAATAATACAGTTTTGTAAAAACAGTTTTTATAAAAACAATTTTGAATGAAAATTTAGTTTACTTAAAAACTGTTTTATATAAAAACAGATTTTGTAAAAACAGTTTTTATAATAACTGCAGTTTTTTTAAAAACTGTTTTGAATGAAAATTTAGTTTACTTAAAAACTGTTATTGTAATTTAATTAAAAACTGTTTATATAAAAACTGTTTATATAAAAACTGTGTTATATAATCTGTTTTTGTAATTTAACTAAAAAAGTATAAAACTGTTATTTAGACATTATAAAAAACGTTTTTTGTATAAACTTAAACTATACTGTTTTTCTAGAAAAACAGTTTGTATAAAAAATGTTTTTTATTTAAAATGTGTATAAAAACTTTTTTTTATAAACTGTTTTTGAAAAAAAAGTATACTGTTTCTAGGAAACAGTTTGTATAAAAACTGTTTTTTATTTAAAAAGTGTATTAAAACTCTTTTTTATAAACTGTTTTTGAAAAACTGTTTATAAAAATTGTATAAAATTCATGTATCTTAAACACAAAAAAAAAAGATGGCCTCTCATGTAAACTTTGCAAAAAGTTTAACATGTTACTTACAATTGTAAATGTGTATAAAACAGATAAAAAAATGGCCTCTCATATAAACTGATATGACTGATAAAAAAAAGATGGCCTCTCATATAAATTGATATATCGAAAACATAAAAAAATGATCTCCTCTCATGTAAACTTTGTAAAAAGTTTAACATGTTACCTCCAAGTGCAATTTATTACCAAATTATTTAAGAACTTATTATGAAAAAATATGGACCCCTCATATTAAACTAAAAATAGTTTAATATGCTATACACATTTTCAATTAATAATACTTGTATAAATTTTTATAGTGAAAAATAATAAATATACCCCAAACTTTAAAAGGGTGTGAAGTAAGCACACCTCAAACTTGCATAAGTAATTTAAACACCCCAAACTTATTTACTAAGTTTGGGATATTTAAATTACATATGATAGTTTGTGGTGCTCTTGTCACATCCCTTCAAAGTTTGGGGTATTTTTATTATTTTTCCCTGTATAAATTTAATAACTGTGTATAAGTTTAATATGAGTGGTTAAATAATTTCTCATAAGCTCATCCTATAATTTATCAATGAGTTGACCCAGTCGATCGAAGAATCGATCAGTTGGAGCTTGTCAATGAGTTGACTTAGTCAATTCTTAGATAAGCTCCAATCTGTGGATTCTTCTGGCTACGGCTTTAGCCATCGATGGACTCTCCCAAGCGCATGTACTGACATTATGTCGCTACATGTGATGTAGCCCATCCATGGTTCAAGTCGTAGCCCGAAGAATCGTCAGGATGGAGTTTATCAATGAATCAACTTGGTCAACTCATTGATAAGCTCCAACCGGTTGATTTTTCGGTCGACTGTGTCAACTCCTTGATAATTATAGTATTTGTTTATTAGCAATTATTGGACCCTAATATTAAACTTATACCCATTTTAAAATGTTATATACATTGACAATTTGATGTTCTTATTATAAGCGTTCTAACAAAAAACAAAATAAATCAATATATTTTAGATGAGCAACGAACAATCGACCTCGGCTCCCCGCCCTAACTATGCGCCCATGTCCGAAGCGGAGCGCAACAACGATAGCGCTGTTTGGGTGACGCCTGCAGAAGTTCTTTTGTAAGTAGTTATGAAAAAACCTTATTTTCAATAATTTTATATAATGTTAAATAATCTAACCAAATCTTATATAAATAAATACTATTAATTTTTTTAAGTGACGAACAAGTGTTCAAAGGCATCAAAAGCATCATCGGAGGACACTTTCTTGGCACTTGGGCCACGCTGTCGGATGTTGACCCCAAGGTTCGCGAACTATGGTGGAACCTGTTCAAGGTAAAAATAAATGAAAGTTCCCTCCCTGATTGTATTGGCCTAATATATACCTGGTGATTAATTAATCCAATTTGTTTTAATAAAGGCTCGCTATCGTTGGACTCACGCAAACGGTGCCGATATTCTTAAAGCCTACAATGCTAGGATTTCGACCTGGCTTCGCGCCACTTTTAAACGTGCGCGAAAAAGTGGGAAAAAGCCTAAATGGGTTTCGGATGAAGTGTGGTCCAACCTTTGTCGCCACTGGTCTTCTGATCCGAAATTCTTGGCTAGAAGTGAATCCGGTAAGAAAAACCGGATGTCCGAGAAGGCCTTGGAGATGCAGTGGCACGGAGGTCGTAAATCTCAGAATGCCCATAAAGAAACTCTTGTAAGTGCTATTCAAAAAACCTTACAACATCACAGTCCTTCATTATAAAAAATTTACTTAAGTCTTTTTCACACCATTTAGGCTGGTCCTGAGAAGAAGAGGGTTGATGTTCTCCGGCTCGTCAAGCATTGCTGGACGAAGCACGGCGAGGAATCTGAAGCCGATTTGCCACCCCGCCTCGCTGACTTCGAAGTATGTAACATCATATTTTGTTATTTAGTAACATTTCAAATCTAAGTATGTAGCATTTAAAAAATATTTTTGAAAATGCAGACGAAGTACAACGAATCCGTTGAGAGGCAGCGTGCGGCACGAGGCTTGACCCAGGAGGACGACCTCGATTCCGATGCGGATGATGAGGCGGCCATTGAGGCGGCCGGGGTTTACAAGGGCCGGGTTCCGTGCTTGGGGGCCGAGGGGCAACGGATTTTGTATGATCGAAGCACCGGTGCTTCCTCTTCTCGGTCAAGGCGGGGAGAAGATCCCCGTATTGCTACAATGCAGCGTGAACTGGAGGAGCACGAACGGCGATGGGAGGAGCAGCGGAAAGCAGATGAGGCCACAAAAGCCCGGTTGGAGGAGATGGAACGGTACATGCGTGCCGGATTCCAGCCTCCGCAACAGCCTTTTCCTCCCCCGTACGTATTCCACCCTGAGCAAACTCCTCAAGTTCCGCACATGGGCGGTATGGGATTTTTCCCCAACTCCGGATACGGTGGCATGCCTATGATTTCGCCGAATTTCGGATCTATGTCCTTTGACTTTGCGAGGTCATCCGGAGGAGGTAGTGGTCCACCGAGCCATGGACCCCGGGGAGGACCCCGAGGAGGACCCCGAGGAGCACCCCGAGGAGGAACCCGACCTGACCCCGAAGACCCCCCCGTGAACCCTGATGAGTTTCTTGTTGATGATGATGAAGAAGAAGAAGAAGAAGAAGAAAATCCCAATTTTTATCATAATGGAGTCCCACGGGACATGTAATCATCATACATTTATTATTTGTTGTATTTCAAAACATTTAAA